ATAGAAAAGAAAGAGAGAGAACGAAAAAGTAATAATTTCCATCCGTGTGTCGCGGACGTCGATAATTACGTAACGATATGGAATTCGATCGATCGATTTCCGAATATGATTTCAGTGTGATAAACTTTCAGTGCGATTAGAAATACCATTCGAGAAAAATGTTTTCTTGTTCAAGAAATGATCGATATATCGATCGTTTAACTCGATCTCCCGAAAGATGAGAACGAAGTAATATCGTGCCGGTTGCATTGAAATCGTTCGTTTAATTAATTAATTAATTAATTAATCAATTAAATAAGTAAATAAGTAAGTAAATAAATAACTGTAAATTTATATCATCGATCGAGTAAAAACGAATGGAAGATAAGAGAAAGATGAGAGAGAGAAAGAGAAAGAGAGAGAAAGGGAGAGAGAGAGAGAGAGAGAGAGAAAAAAGTCCAAAGTTAATTTCCGAGAGATACCTACTTAAGTACTACTTACTTACTAACTTATTTGTTAACATCAAAATAGGAATAAGGATACTATGTTATTATGTTATTATTGTTGTCTGTTGTCATCGTCATCGTTCTCGTCGTTGTTGTTGTTGTTGTTATTGTTATTGTTATTGTTGTTGTTGTTGTTGTTGTTGTTGTTTCGAAATATGTACTTAGTTAAAATATACTTACATAGTTAATAATCATTTCAATCTATTTGTCGTCGAAAAGGAAAGATGCTGTTTGACAATGAGAAACGTGTCATGAAAGAGGAGACTCATCCCTGCGAAGGATAACAAATATGATAAAAGTAAAACAAGAAGAGTCGATCTTTTAACGTGTACCATTTTGGTATTAGTGACGTGTCTAAGTTCTAATCTTTCGATGGTTATTGAGTGAGAGAGAGAGAAAGATGAAGAGAGAAAAAATACGGTAGCCCAAGTCCACTGAGATAACGACCTTTTGTGGTTCTTCCCCCCTACCTTCTCTCTCCCCTTTTCTTCTTCTTCTTTTTCTTCTTCTTCTTCTTCTTCTTCTTCTTATCTTCTTTACGCTGTGTCGAAATATTTTTCGTGAGAAGTCGAGATCCCTAATGTATTTTCTTTTTCTCTCTCTTTCTCTCTCTCTCTCTCTTTTTCTTTTCTCATCTTCTCTCCTTTTTCTTTCTCCCCTTTAAAAATCTTCTCGCAAACGGATAACGTTTCTCATCCTCGGTTATATATCTCCCTTTTTCAGTCCTCCCTCCTCCCCCTCCCTTCCCACCCCCACGCTCCTACCCTTCTACCGTATTCCGTTCAAAAAGATTTCTTCTTTCGCGTTTCATTTCATTCGTCTCGTTTCATTCTCATCGTATAACCGAACGATTTCTTAATAAGATTTACTTATAAAAGTTTATAAAGGAGGAAGAAAATTAAAATGGAATGAAGAAACGAAAGGATTAGTTAAATAGGAAAAGAAAAAAAAAAAAAAAAAAAAAGAGAAGAAAAAAGAAATGGAAGTTCGTGTGCGTTCAATTTGATTTGCAAGGTAATCGTATCTACTCTGAGAAATTGATCCATCGCATAGAGGAATGCGTGTAGGCTCGATAAGTTATGAAGCTATCTGATCGGACGACTTAACGACGCAAGGTATTGCCGCGAGTTAACCTCGGTGACGATTACGAATCCTCTTTGATAAAATAAATGTTTTCTCTTCGTCGATTAGAGGAAAAACATTAATCGTTTCGTACGATTGATTTTGAACATTTCGAACAATTTCTTTTCTTTCCTTCATTTTCTTTTTTTTCTTTTTTTTCTTTTTTTTTTTTTTTTTTTTCCTTGTCTTTTTGCTTCTTTTCTGCGTGTATGTGTGTGTGCGTGCGTGCGTGTGTGTGCGTACATGTATATGTGCTCGCGTTGATTATTTCTCTTTTCTTTATCCTTTCCTTTCTTTTCATTTCTTCACCCTCTTTCTCTCTTTCTTTCTCTTTCTTTTAAATCGGAAGTATACATTGTTCTCTCTTTAGAGAGTCACGACGCGTGAGAATTTAATCGATAACAGAATTCCCACGGACAAGCCAGAAATTTTTGTTTTTTTTTTCCTTGTTGCTTTTTTCTTTTCTTCTTTTTCGTTTTCTTAGAAGAGATAAAAAAAAAAGAACGACATTTTTATCATCATCTCTGTCTTTCTTTCTTTGACTCCTTTTCTATTCTCTTAGTCGTTGAATTATCGATCGATTTAATCGAGAAAATTCTCTCTCTTTCCCTCTCTCTCTCTCTCTCTCTCTTTAATTTTAATTAATTCTCAAAGAACGTATCCAAGAAACTTTGAATCGTCATATCATGTAGGATTACGGTTGACTATCACCCTTAACTTGAAAAGGAATAAAAAACGATTTTATAATTTAACTTTTAGATAGGTTACCATTCTTATTTGATATAAAATTTATGTATGGATAGTAGTAATAGTAATAGTGATAGTAGTAGTAGTAGTAGTAGTAGTAGTAGTAGTAGTAGTAGTAGTAATAAGTAGTAGTAGTAGTAGTAGTAGTAGTAGTAGTAGTAGTAGTAGTAGTAGTAGTAGTAACAGTAACAGTAACAGTAACAGTAGTAGTAGTACTAATGATAGTACTAGTAGTAGTAAGCTCGCACGGCGACGATCTATACACGTTAGCGACAGGTATGAGGTAGGTATGACAACGGGAATGAGGTACATGCGGAAACACTCGGTTGGGCCACGTATACGAGAGAGGGATATCTACTTTGCCCGACATCCTTCGTTCGACCCTCTACCACCCATAATAATGTATGTAGATAGTACCTACTGTAAAGCTTAATCCCAATTTCTCTTTGTTCTCTTTTTGCATAGCATTAAAAAGCTAATAAACATTTTTACTCCGTCTCTCTTTCTCTCTCTCTCTCTCTCTCTCTCTCTCTCTCTTTCTCTTCCTCTTTTTCTCTCTACCCTTGTTTCTATTATTTAAATTCATTTAAAAAGAAAAATGTTTTCTAATCTCTCGAATTACGAATGAAAGAAAAGATAGAAAGAAATAGAATAGAAATAAGACATATTATTATTAACTCTTTCCCTATCTATGAGTTAATTTTATTAAACCATAGTAGAAAAGGATTTAGATGTTTTTTTTTTTTTTTTATTTTATTCAATCTTATTCCTTCCGAATCTTGTCTTCTCCTTCGCGATTCTATACGATAAGAATAATTACTCGCGAAAAGATCTTGGCTTTACGATCGTGGAGCCTCGTCACGCAGGAGTTCGTGACGTGGCTTCGATAGAAAAGATAAAGACGTTTCTGGTTTCTTTCATTTCTTTCTCTCGCTTTTTTTCTATCTCACTTTCTCTCTCTCTCTCTCTCTCTCTCTCTCTCTCTCTCTCTCTTTCTATCTCAATCTCTATCTTTCTGTCACTCTTAATTCGTAATTAATTTTAACCGCGATAAAGATCTGATAAATTCTTTTTCAATTCTCAAAATCTTTTGGCGAAAGAAAACAAAATCAAAAAGAAAAAGAAGAAGGAAAGAAAAAAAATGAGAAGAATAGAAAAAAGAAAATTGAAAGGAAATAACATAAAAAAAAAAAAAAATATCTTTCATCAGCGATAAAATCGTTTCTCTTAACATGCTTCGTAAAAACTTTCATCTAATCTTTCTATCGAGTTTACTAATCTCAAATCGATAATGCTTTTTGTACGAAGACAAAGAAAGAGAGAGAGAGAGAGAGAGAGAGAGAGAGAGAGAGAGAGAGAGAGAGAGAGAGAGAGAGAGAGAGAGAGAGAGAGTTGTAGGTATAGACGTTGAACCATTTACGAGGTGATCGATTCTAAATGAATTGTTTCATTTAAATTTTCAATTATACTTTCGTCCAACTCATTGGTACGATTTATAATTAAG